CACGCACGCACGCACGCACGCACGGTTAAAGATTCCAGAAATGCAGTGGCCTAGACCGGACGGGCTTGGGGCACCAAAGGTATCACATCGTGGAAATGTGCCGGACCATCCACCTTGAGTTCAAAAGGCGGGGCTGTGCGGCTTCCATTTTGATCTTCTCAGCTCGATGTGCGGGCTTGTTAGGTCCCGTTACATGCAGAAGCCTTTCAGCAAATTTCTTGCGGATTTCCTGTCCCAGACATGGAACGTGGCCTGGACTACTCAACCCTTATAGCGGCAAGTTTCACGAACTTTGACGAAGCTTCGCCGAGGTAGTGGACTTGCTGTCTCTCCTCATCTCCTCTGCAACATTCGTGCCAGAAGCTCAGGAACATTGAAGCAGCTTGTCAAGTGTTGATACGATGTTGCCACGAAAAGCACTATATTCACTATATGACTATTTAATATTTCCGCCTCGGAGGACATTCATCGTCTTTGTAATGAACAACTTCAGAGCCCAGTACCAGTTCAGCGTGGATGACCTGGCCAAGCATCTTGCCTGCAAACCTGCGAATCCTGCGAACAAGCGGCCCTTAATGTGCGATGGACGCCTGGCAGGTATGTGGTGCCAAATGACGCTGCGCAAGCTTTTGCAATGCCCCAGGCAGTCAACCCTGTTCGATACCTGGAGGACCTGTAGTCAGAATGCGCAGAAGATTGAGTGAATTGTCCAAATCATTCCCGAGCAGGATGATTGGTACTTCTTCAAAGAGTTCGAGCTTGTACAGGGTGCAGGGTCCAAGTGCTTGTGAATCTGAATATGCTCCTTGAAGTCTTGAAGGCTTCAGTGTGAATCTCTTAGTTGGTCCAAGGCATTTACAGCATTTTCCTGCAGTTCGCGCCCTAGCTTCGAATGAGACTCTTGCAGCTGGAGCTCAGAGGTTGCGCTCAACAGATGCATAGTAATGCTGGCCAGTTGAAGTAAGTTTACAACAGCCATGTGCAAAGATCAGAGCATAGTTCCAACAACAATTCCAAGTAGCTAGCACAGACTCATGCTTAGCAGAGCTGTCCCGCTTGAATCAGGTTTGCTGCGCTGAATAGCCTTTTTATTGCCATCAAGACCATCAAAATCGTTAACAGGCTGTTGGGCTTGCCATGAAGACACAGGCCTTCTTTCAGAGAAGGGCTATGCCAAGCCTGTCACAGGTTTGGGAAGGTCAGCAAGTTCAGCCAGACCTTGGCCAAGGGCAGGGCTGGGATCTCAGACCTGTCAAGGACGGGGCTAGTGACGCAGTGGCTATAATTGGGACTGGGATGACCCTATCGTAAGTAAACAATCGCAATGCCCTGCGAAGATGCCTAGAGAACCAGTTTGATGTGGGCCACTTGCGCTCAGAGCCGGAACATGTACTTTCTCATCGTCATCAAGCTGCAGATGGTGGGCTTTGCCTTGGCAATGACGGTCGGCCGCCGATGATTAGGAACCATATTCCGTGCCTGTTGTCGCTTCCTGTGTTCCCTTCCCAGAACTCAGGTAATCTTCGGTACAATGGCATGAACCTCAGACCATGCAGCATGCAGCATCTACTTGTAGTTTTTTGACTTTTGCTGCTGCTGCAAGGTGGAGGGATTCAGCAGCCCCATTGCAACCATGGGCTCTCTGCTGTACTGGGTTTGTGGTTGGGCAGACCTAGATCCGCTCTTGCAGGTGCCGAGCGTGCCTCCATTGGGCTCTTTCTTGCGTGTCTGGGGCAGGCAAGTCCAATCCTTGCGATCCTCTTCTTCGTGGCTTTCATCGCACCTCGGCTTTCTGCACGGCTTCCCACCAAACTTTCGACCGGGACAAAACGGGAATTCCGAAAAGATTACGACGGCAGAAGCAGATGAAAGGACCGAATTTCACACATCTTGCCGGCCTTAGGTCATTTTCCGATTCATCAGCACGAACATGTTCCTAGCCACCCAGCTCAACACTTTCGCGGACTTGGCCGGTTACTCAGGCTCAGGCAGCCAGACAGCAGTCAACATGATCGGTTCTCGTTCCGAATCAAAGTCGATGAGCTCTACGGCCACGAACATGCTGCTGAGTGGCATCGCTGTTGTCTGCACTGAATGATTGGGCAGAGGTGGGCGAGAGTGACATTCTGGCAGCAAAGCGTGCTGCCAGCGCCAAAACGCAAACCTCTCAGCATGGCTTCCAGCAGCGGAGGTAATTAGCATTGCTGTACAGAAAATGCTCACTTGTGCTCTGTGGCAGGGGAATCAAGGAGGTGAGGTACGGCAGCAAGAAGGAGCTCCAGGACACCAATGAAGACACGCTTCGTGGCGTGCTTGTCGCAGCGACAATTACCTTCGTTCTTTCCACAGCCAAGATACAGCCGGTATGGATGGTTGTAGTGGAGCTTCACTGTAGGATTAGCCGATTCAAGTTCTATGGCATCTCGTGTGTGATGTGATCACGGGTCGAACGCCGCCAGACATCGCGCCGACAGCGGTGCCCCACGCCACAACATCCTTAGCATGCACTGATGCACCGCTTCGTCTCCCTGATGTCCGCCTCGGATGCCGTTTCCGGCACGGCTCCGTCCCCACATGGTCTCGTCGATGTCGCTCCCATTCGATTGCCTAGCTGCCTAGCGTTGCTCTGGTCACTTCGACACCATGGACCGTATAACTGCTACCCACAAGCAGCCGTTGCAGTGGCCAAAAGCTCAACCCCAAAAGTAAGAGAACATCACGCCCTGGTGGCGTGCATTTGCTGTGGTAAGGTTTTGACATGCTTTAGTTACAGTCTTTCGCTCATGCATACAGGAACAGTCGCATTACAGAACTAAGGGAACACACTTGATACTTGATACTTAATTAAAGTGGCACCTGCAAGTGCAGACGGGACTTCGAGAAATATGTTCTGAGCCGTTCAACAACTGGCTTTCGTGATTTGCTAATCTTAGCAGAAGGGAACCGTTGTGGATGGTGCCGAAACACCCCGGCGGGCCTGTAAGCTTATGCGCAGGATGATCTGGAGCTCGAGCGCCAAGGCGAGAATCAGGCACGGCGGTGCATTCCTCATATACGTAGTATGGGTTGGCATGGAGTATACCGTCACAGACTGTACCTACAGATGCACACACACACACACACACACACACTCTCTCTCTCTCTCTCTCCCTCCCCCCCCCCCCCCC